GGATTATCATGACACAACTTTGATGCAAATTCCCTAAGTTTTTCAGGAATACCGCTGATATTACATGAATTAATTAAATATCCAACCCCCCATATATCAACACTCGTATCATGTTTGCCAGTTAACATTTCAGGAGCATGTCCAGTTTCAGAAAATTCTTTTAAAGGTTTTCTTACGATGCCTCTTTTGTCGGAACCTAAAGTTGCGTAATCGAAATCAATCAAAATGAATTTTTTGTATTCATTATGATGCTGAACAATATTTGGCCATCGAACATCCCTGTGCAATATTGGTTTTGGTTTAATGCCATGCATATCCTAGATGAACATGAACACATTCCGAATGAATATTATATAAAAGCAATTAAGAACATCCGTACCATAACTCTACCTTAAGACAAGTTAATATACAAATTAATGCTTTCAATAGTTCATTGAGATTTCCTGGTTTTCGTTGTAATCCACGTGGTTCCAAATGAGCAGAATGCGAAATGGTATATTCCAACTTGTCGGTAAATCTAACGTTATTTTGCTATATAAATTGTTAGAACGTACCTTAAAAGGAGAAGCTTGTTCATACTTACATATAATGTTGTATAAATTTCTCGTAAGTGGTCAATCGATCGTTCTTCTCTAAATATTTTCTTAACATTATACCCAAGTTCAACAATAGTTCCATTAGGTCGTAATAATGTAATAAAATCTGGTGTATCTCTTGCGGGGCACAAATTTACTATAGTAGGCAATATACGACCTAAATAATAATATAAATCAGCGCTTTATGGAAATAATTTAAACCACAAAAGAAACTTACAAGTATTTCGAAGAAGATTCATAACGCGAATCCTATGCGAAAAGCTTTCTAAATTAAATTCACAAATCATTTCAGACTTAACTTCCGAACGTGTTCTCTTCTTACTTGACCCAATATTTACAGGTTCAGACTCATACAAAGTAACAAAAGTGACAAATCGACCAGTAGCATGGTATGCAAGGAGATATGGAGCATCCCCATATATCCATTCTTTGAATTTCTTAGTTAATTCCTTCGAAGAATCTGCATCAGAATCTGCCGCCTTTTCTTCCCCACGAAAAGGACAAATATTTCTCACTAGGATAACCATGTCTGGGCGATTGCGACCTGTAAATTTTGTGTCAATATACAATATATTCCTAACAATCAATCAGATTTACCTGTTGAGGTTCTTATGTTAGTATTTCGATCGAATTTCATTGTTTCCAAACCAATAATATTTTTTCCAAATATTTCTATGGAATTTTTAATAATATCGTCCCAAAAAGCATGAAATGAGTCTTCGTTCATTCCAACTGAAGGAGGGTAAATTAAATGTCCTATAAGTTTTATAAATAACTCCGTAACACTCCTCCTTTGTATTTTGTACAAAATAAGTGTCTCGTTCTTTTTCAGTTATACATTCTGGACCCTTAGTATATATTTGAGAAAAATGAGCAGGAGAAAGCGGTATTTTCACTTCAGGTTTTTCGTTAAGGAAATCATTAAGAAAAGTCTTATTAGGCAATTGACCAGGAGGTTGAACTAATTTTTTTACTATCTCAGCAGTTACATCTAAAGATAATGAAACATTGTAAATTTAGAATAAGAACAGTTGATAAGAAAAAAATGAAGAAATGAGAAACTTACCCATTGGAATTTCTGAAAATAATATAAATAAATTGCGAAAATGAATTCAATATTATTAGACACGATTTAAATTAGTATTCGTTATTATTAGCAAATATAAAAGCGCCAAAGCAAAGACAAGCCATTTCGCGCTTTTATTACACTTACCGGGTTGATCTACGATAACGTGAATTTGGGTTTAACAATAATAAGAAGGAAAGAATAAGAATTCGGTATTATGACAGAGAAAACGAAAAATGACACGGCATAGTAAGTCAAAGTTATAAATAGTACATCAAATAAATAATGAAACGGAATGGCAATTTTTTCATTACCTTTTCCTTCATTAAACGCGGTCAATTTCTTTTGTAAAAATATGACTTGCTCCCTCCAAACTTCTTCATTCTTTATTAACTTTTCTTTTTCTTTTTTTAACTCGTCTTTCTGCATTTCCCAGTCCTTCTTCTGTTCTTCGTTTCTCCAGTTTCCATTGTCTAACTTGCCCACAAATTCCCATATCGTCTTCTCTTTGTTCTCCAATTTCTTCTCCGCCTTTTCCAACATATCCTTCGCATACTTAAATTGGTTTTTGATTTCTTCGAATGTTGTCATTTTAAAATTAAATCGA